TAAGATCAATAGAAAATCTTAATAGAAAAATCTATCATGCAAGTAATACAATTGCATGAAGTTTACTTGATGGAACTGTCACATGTTTGTATTACCGACGCGATTACGTACCATGATAGTGGATATCTTATTGGACATAATTAAAGTTCCAGTCATTTATTCGATTATGTTTGATCAAAAAAGAAATAAGATGAGTGTTTTATTCATCAATAAAAATCTTTCTCATTTACTCAATATATATGAATATATTTTTGTTATCCATACTTTTTATGTAATATTTAATTTAATTTTTTTGTGTAGTATAATGTCTAAAATTGGAATTGAAGAGACTACATCTTTTTTAAATACAATATATTTTTTTAATTATTACAATATATTTTAATTATTATTATTTATTAATATGAATATGAACATGTACGGTTGGGCTTTTTTTTAAATATATATTATATAAATTATACGCATTTAGATTTTATGTATATCATATTTTTTAAAATTAAACACTAAAGTATTTAATTAAAAATTAACGTATTATAAATATAATATATTGTTTATATTATATATTATATATTATGTGTATATTATATATTATAAAATATATTGTAATATATTTAAATATATTTAAATATATTTTATGGATATCATATATTATTTTTATTAAGATATTTCTCCAATTTTGTTATTAAATTACGTATATATTTGTTCTTATTTCTTGCGTACATGATTAAAAATTAATCGTTCATTTAAAATAAATTAATTCTTTACTTTATATAAATTAATAGCATGAAAGTTGTAGAAAATTTCTCTATAGTTCATGAATGTTTGAATATCTTATAAATATTTTATTTAAATTTGTATGTTTTCTCTTACGTATGTAACAAGAGTATTGAATTTATGGAAAGAGCTTGCACAGAGATTTAAAGGAAAATGGAGATTTTCCTTTATATACTTTGTCTGATGTGCACATGTAATATATCTTATTGAATATTATATCTATACATATAAATTATTAATATAACATTTCTTAGATCTACTTAAAAATATTAAAATATTTCTTTAATTTATATTAATAATTTTAATTTATATTTATTTATATAAATTCTTTAAAAATAGCAAATATCTAGAAAATACAAAAATGAGTTAAATAATAATTGATTTATATTTAAAGTTTTACATTTAATCACTTTTATATTTTTAGTATTAATATTGTTATAAAAATATATATGTATAGACTTAACAATATGCTTATGTTTCTTCATTAAATTGTATTCGAGATTTTCATCATGGATATAATTCCCGCGGAGTTCAAAACTATCTCAGATTTCACCATGTATACATATATACATGTACGTGTCTCTCATTAACACACGTATTCTAAATTGGTATCCCAGTGGAAAGTGTTGAATACAAGATTACATTACGCTTTACTTTTACTTACATGCTATTATTAATTAATGTAACTTTAATTGTTTATTACATTATATATGATATAATAAAGATTACATTAAAAAAGTATGAATAAACGTGTATAATAAATAATGTATAATAAATGTTAGAATTAGATATAAATTAGATACAAATATAAATAAGAAAATCATTTATTTTTGTATAATTGACAATTTTTTCGGCGTTAATTGTATTTAAAATTAAAACAGACTTTGTACAGTTCTAATTTGATAGATACATTATAACTATTGAGGATGACTTATTTTTATAATGATAAGTATATTTCTTCATTTCTTATATAAACTATAGTCCAGACCATAACCAATGAAGTTTTTATCAATTTATCAATTTTTTACGATGATTGCACGGTCAATTACAAATTTCCTGTCGCTCACATTCCTGTATAAATTTCATGTTTCATGTATCAAGGAAGGAAATAGAGCTGTCAATATATAAAATCAATTGACGTCAGACTGCTGAAAATTTTATCGATCATGCTATTACAAACAAATTTTACTTTAGTGTTTGCTAATATCGTGCTTTATGATACGAAGTATAGTCTGGATTACATATGATTTATAGTTTTAATAATTTTGATAAAATTTTTGTTTTTCCAATCCTTTTGTGCGACAATCATCATAAATTTATTCTTTATATATTTGCTGTACACATACTGTTACAAAGAAAAATTATTAACCTCAGCTTATATAAAAGTATGTAAAAGAACATTAATTTGATCGAAAAATTGAGTGTAGTGGTATATAAAAGACATTATTAAACTTTTAATACTTTTCCATGTCTATATCTATTCGTCGACTAATATAGCTCTGAAGTGCTTGAAATTGCCTTTCCTAAGTCGGCACACAGCGGCGCGATGGCCGCATCCTAATTTAGCATTGAAAGGGTCAAGCAAATGGATTTGGAATCTCGACAAAACGTTCACATTTGCATAAACTGAAGAAGACGGTAAAGGTGGAATTAAGCGTCGATCAGTATTATTTGTTGGCACACAATACCTGCTAAACGATAACCTGTAATCTGAAGAATTACGAGCGATAAGATAATACCTTTCCACGCGGACGATAGCAAATACTTTTTATCTTCAACACCAAATGTTATTAAAGCGAATGCGACAGCGATCGTTTGAAAGTAATGAAACAATGAAAAAGATCACATTACCAAAACGAATTCGGATGAGATCTGAATATGATTCCGAGACATTTATAAGATCACAGAGATGGATCTTCATATAATTCATTTATAAGAGAGTATGGAACATTCAATGTGGTAGTCGGATTTTACGAAGTCCTTAAGTAGACTGGTATTGATTTCCGACTATCCGGCTATTTGTGCTATATCTGGCTCCGATCATCATTTAAAATATATATTTGTCGTCTCATTAAAGCTAACATTATCTCGCATCATTTTGGCTCATTACATAGTTTTGTATTAATATTAAAATTGGACAATTATAGAAGTTTGTTTAGGAAGTAGTACATAATTAATTAATGTATAATACAAATGTGTATTAAAAATAAAGAGAGTTTTTATTTTCAATCAACAATGCGATAATGCTGTGCATAAAATATTATAATATTAGTGACTTAAATTTTGTAATGAGTATCTTAATGTATATATCTATTTTTGAATGGTTTTATTTCTTTCACGTTTTATTTCTATTTGCTGTCATTTTCACTTGTTTCCACCTTTATATATACGTAAATCATGGAGAATAATTGTTTGCGCATTTGAGTTTAGTTTCAACAATTTATAACGATGAGAAGTGTACCCATCAGTATTTGATTTGATGCATTGATATTTGAATCAGTGCTTTAACTCAATCAACGTAGTTAAACTAGTATGAGTAAACGATATCTTGTGAATAGGGGACAAAAGGTAATATAATATTGTTACAAACCAGATACAAAATTGTTACAATTGCGGTTAACAACTAAATGCACATCACGAATATAAGTTTCTCACGAATTTCACATTTACTCGAACAACTAATTTAATAACCAATAACAATAAAGTGACTCACATTTATATTGAATTTTTATCTTGAGCTGGAAAAATAGAATTTGCATGGCCAACTTTATAATTTAAATAAATAAAAAAGAAGTAATTATTATAATAAAGTTATTTTATTATTTTAATTTTTTTCTATTCAATACAAGTTATTCAATTAGGAAACTTAGGAAAATATGGATTATAGGATAGTATTCGATAATTAATGATTCTAATAATTATAATTGGATAACTCATTATTTTATAGGATAGTTATTCTCGCAGTTGCGACTACTTATTGTTTGTTATAAAGTATTAATAGTTTGTGTCATAAAGACGATACTTCCTACCTGTTACGTATAATCAAAGTAATATAAAAGAAAGAATGATAAATAAAAAATTTTGGTACAAGATACACTTGATTTCGCAATACATTCGCTAATGCATTCTTATTTTTATCAACTTGAAATATATAATATATGCGTTTTACATATACACCACGTTACATATACACCGTTGTCTGTATTGGAACGAGGGCAGATAGAGAGGGTTGATGGGGGTGGTTGCTGGGATTTTCAGTACGCGCGCGATCTCCGTGCCGAAAACATGTTTCTCTCGGATGTTCGTATAATCTTCAGGTCGTGCGATAAGAGATCAGTCACAAATAAAATGATATAAAAAAAAATTACTATTGATGACATATTGTATTTAACATTTACTGTTGTAAAAATGCAAATACTTAATTTGAAACAAGGATGATATTAATAATCGTGCGCTTTTAATTGGAATATAAATTGATAAAAGGCGAGTTAAAAATAAATAAATATCTGGCAATAAATATGTGTTAATTTCGAATCATGACAAATGTATTGCTCAAGCGGGGTAATGCAAACGGCGAATTGTGATTTCGAATGCTCATCAGAAGACAATTAGCCGCGTATCTACATACTAGTGAATTAATCAAGCTGAGTTTCCGTTTAAACGGTATTAATTCAGCTATTCGCACAAGCAGATAATGCATATATAGTATAATAGAATTAAATATAAATAGTTAAACTTATTACAGATAATTAAAGATAAACTACTGATTCCTTAATAATATTTTCCTTAATAAAATAAATCATTGGGCAATACTTTATAAATATATTAAAGACGGTTTATGAATAAAATTAGTATATTATGCATATCGAGCACGTAGCAAGGTTGATAATTAGTACGATTAATAGAAAGTAAACAAATCTAGCAATATTTTCTCAAAAGTCCAAGAATATTTTATCTAATTTTTATTATGAGCGTGCAAACACAAATTAATTTGGATTGCATATCAAACATTTAATAGCTAAAACATTTAATAGCTAAAATCGCGTTAATTAAAAGTTAAATACTTATTGCGCAAAACTAAGTTTTTGTAAATCAAAATTGTATTGTATGTAATGGGATTTAGCTCTTACATTTAGATGTGCATTTCTCTTTCCACACTGATTCTCACATTGAAAGTGTTGAAGTTCTGGATATTACATATTACATATTACGTGCTTATGATGCGAAATATGTGATATTATATGAGACTATATTTTACGAACGACATACGGCGCGTTTGACGTCGGCTTTCGAGCATCTTGTTATATTATGAACACTTTAATTAATGAAGTCTTATAAGGTGAGAACATGCGGACAATTAACGGGATGTATACGTTGCAGTTTATGTTGTAATATGAATAATAATAAGTAATATTCACGCATCATTCATTGTGACAATGAATGTTATATGATATTTATTGAATAGATTATTTGTATTTAACCGCTTGGAGTTATTTACATAATGCCAATAACATAATTAATTAATTGCAAACAATTTTGTTATTACACGTGAAATAAACTGTGATCAATACGTGTGAAACTGATGCTGATCATCTGGTAGTTATATATAATGTATATATATATATATATATATATACACATATACATATTTAATGTTATTATAATATTTATAAATCATATATATGTATATTATATTATTAGATTATCATAGAAACCCATTTATAGAATTAATAGTTTTGAAAACGATAACAAACATATACATAAATTATATTACAAATTATGTTATTGATAATATAAATTATATTAAAATTTTAAAATAGAGAGAGAGCAAATAAAATGAGAAATTTTACATAAATAAGAATAGCCAAAGTGAAAGATATTTATGTAAGACTTTAATTTATGAAGTATTAACATGAAAAATGCTTAAATCTTTTTGTTTACCTTATAAAAATTTCTGGGAAAATTACTTTCTTAAATAATATTTTATTTATCTAGAGAAAATTATTTTAAGCCTCTTATAAAGTTCTTAATATTAATTATTAATATTATTGAAAACATTATTTATAAATTTTTTTTTAAATGTTAAATAATCCACTTAAAAACTCTTTTAACTCTTTTAAATAATAGTTTTTTCAAAATGTAGCACTTTTAACAAATTTAGTTTTGCAACATAAGAAATAACTTGTTGAGATAGTTTGTGAATAATTTCAGAATTCCTAAAAAAATTTTATAAAAAAATTTTATAAAAGCGATAATTTAAAATCACAGATTGAATAAATATAAAATGAAAAATAATGATTCAAATAAAAAGCTGAACACAAATTATAATATACTGCATGGCACAGCAGACATTATGCGCAACGTAATATACATCAGAGAAATTTTCACGACATATTTAACAAATAATTTTTTAAAATTTGTTTTATTATATTTGATGGTTCTTTACCTAATGATATTTGTCTCTATATAAAATTTAAAAGATATTTTATTTTTACATGCTTGTCAAAAGCTGTGCACCATCGTATAACTAATATTAATGTTTTATAACTCTCTTCTTTTTAATCTGAAAATAAAGCATGTGTATGTGCTTGAATTAAATACGCATAATTGTGATTAACAAACTTCTAATCGGAATACTGATCATAGTTTTACACATACCTTTCTCACTGTAAATTGGATTAGTCTCGGCTTGTGTATAATTAATCGGATAACTAAAGTAATTCGTGGGAAAATCATCATGTTAGAACATTATATTGTAATATAATTTTCATAGTTTCTTTGTTAGCAGCTGCGCCGCTGGCAAATTGTAAATGCAAATTTACTGTCTTAGTGCCGAAAGTGCAGCCCGACCAGCAGGCTTAGTTTATAATAAACAATTTTATGGCTGAAGAAATTTGTAACAGGTGTTGCTAAATGAAATTGAGTGCTGTAACCTCGAGTGTTTTTGTATAAATTTGAAATGAAATTGCATTCTAGTATTCGAGGAATCTCTATCTATTATCAGAGGCTCTGTCTCTGGTATTCCGATTGCTTAAGAAAAATCGGAATGGTAAGTTGAGATGTACGTTAAACAGATTTCAAGTACAAATGCTTCACAAAAATAATTGCTGCTATAAGTTGACTTTATTATTATTATTCACTGCGCACAATGAATAAATGTAGATTTTATTTATTATGCACAATAGTGAATAACAATTGATGATTCATCTGCTGTGCATAATTATTGTGCAACTAGTACAATTATTAATTACAATTATTCTTAAAATAATCGGTTTAATAATGAAATGTATTTAAAATTTCATGAGAGATCGTCAATCTTGAACAATTCGTCATTAATGATACAATTCTGCGAGCGAGTTTGAATTAAAATCAATATGTCAGAGACTTGAGCGTGAAAGACCGATATTTACATGAATAATGTGTACTTTTATGCAAAATCGCTCATTGCATGCTCATCGAATGTTTGAAGAATTACTGTAAATTTATTACCATTGCCTCCGTAATGTCCGACATTATTTGAACATCGTGTTTTCAGGAACTTGGACCACAACTGCGCAAACAACTCAATTTGCTTACTTCTATTCTTCGCTTCTTTATATTCCTAAGTTCACTTTGTTTCTTCGCTATTTAATCCCGTCATCGTTATTTTATCTTTGTTTTATTTACTTCAACATTTACATAGATCTTTTAGTAATTGTAATTTAGTAATTAAAATAATAAAGATCTATGCTCGTAGAAATTAAAGCACAAATATGACAACTGCATTGCAGAATATGTTAATTGACCTATTTAATAAAAATATTTAAATACAGAAGTAGAAATTAATAAATAAAAGAATAACTAAAAATAAATGTCTTTTATTAGGAAACAGTAAATAGAATTTTAGAAAAAGAATAGAATTAAATTTGTTAAAAATATAATAAATTTTAATAAAATAAATAATTAGATTATAATAAAAATCAAAGCATACATACTAATAAGTATAAATTATTTTGTAATTGAGCATAATTTGAATGAATTCTTCTTTTTAACAGTAATTGATATTACTAAAAATATGTCATAATTTCAGAAAGATAAATCAAAATATGTTAAATTATTATTGCAAAAGTTTTATCAAACTTATAAGTATAATAGATATAAGAAATGCAATTTAAAGAAAATAAAAGTTATATCATGAGTATTTCGCCAACAAGAATTTTTCTCTTGCTCGAAAACGATGGCTAGTGGGATTCTTATTACTTTAACTTCGTGAAATTATGGCATCATCTTCAATTTTTCTCCGTTAGAACAAAAAGGAGACACTTAATTCGATTTGAATCAAATTAATTGATTTGTTATTAATTACTTGTGCGCTTTATTTTATTTTGTATTTTGGCTGTCATTAATTTTGTAATTTTTTTCTTCAAGACATCTAGAAATCTTTTATTTTATATTATTTTATTTATATTATAATTTTTAAAAAACATTAAAATTATAAAAAAAAATTTTTAATCAATACTTTCATAAAATTTCTCTAAAAAATAATTTGTTTAATAATCAGAATTTGGGAGAAAAATATGTATATAATAATATGTATATAAATATGTAATATGTATATAAATATGTATATTTGTCAAAAATACGAGTGTATATAATAAGTATTATTTTTATTCTGCGCTAGATATTTTTTGGACACATACTCATTAAGCGTCATACTCATTCGAGTTCTCGTCTCGTATACTGTTTAATATACTTTTATAAAAAAATTCATCTTTCGTTGAACATAGTCTTCATAGAGCATATTTTAAAAGTGTTACAATATGCACATATACATGTACCTTCAAAAATGTAATAAATATATATAAAAATGAAGTAGAAAGAAATATTCTGCGGGTATCTATACCGATTTTTGGCAATACCTTTTTTCAATAAAAACGTATCAGTTTCTTATAGTTCTTATACATTTTTAACTTACGGGTTAGTGCACGTATCAGGTGCAGTAAGCACGAATAGTTGACACGGAAAGGTACTCTTTGTTAAGAAATTTCAGTGTCATTTCGTGTAACATGAGATAAACAACCAAACACGAAGAATATATTGCATGTCATTCTTTTAAATCATCTGGAGTAATAAATAGAACGCGGAATTTTTTTTACATAAAACATCTAGTATTTAATAAATATATAAATATTATTTTATTAAATATTTCTCTCTCTCTCTCTCTCTCTCTCTCTATATATATATATATATATATATATATATATATATATATATATATATATATATATATAGAGTAAGCTGTTTTTTTTATTAAAATTTTAACATAAAAATAATAAACTGATGTATAGGTTTTCTATTTGATGTATGAGTTTCTTAAACAATTCTTTTGTATTTTAATAATATACACTTTTAAAGTTAATATATTTGTCAAAGAAGAATCGATTTGTATTACGTAGTATGAGCTATAAATTGACAAGAGATAACTTGTCAGGTATCACTTTTAAAAACAAGAATTTTGGATATTTATATTCTTTAAAACAAGGTAAAAAATTTTATATGTTATACCTCGTGTATATCGATTTATCTATTACAATCTTTATGCTTCTTCGACTCAAGTTAATCTCAAATCTTATAAGCTAATACTTGTTACATTTATAATGACGCTCTTTTCTTATCTTTGTTCTTGTATGTGGAGTAAGCAGAATATGACATGTTGAAGCGTTGCTGAATTAGTAGATATTAATTGATTAAACACGTTCGACTTCATTTCACAAATGAGAGCAGCATTATAGATCCCACTCGTCGCTCGTCTTTTGTTATGTCGAAGCAATCTCGCAGAGCACCCTTGTTCACTCTTTTAATACTGATACGTGGTTTCTTGCATTGTGAAACTGATACTAATTTGCGAACGTTACACATTTCTCATTACGTAAAATGGAAAACCTCGAATTAGCGGAACACATATTGTTTGTGTGTACATGGTTTAATCTTATTTTAAAATGATTGTTAATGATATTTTTTGAAAGTTAGTCATTATCTCGTTTGATATGCAGCAGACATGCATGTTTTCAATGCATTTTCCAAGTTTTCTAAAGCATTTATATTTTTAAGAATATTAAAGTAAAAAGTTGATGTGATAAGAATAAGCAAGAAGTTTCTTTCCTTGAAAAGACTTTCATGATTTATTATTCTGTATATTGAAGATAGCTTGTAACAGTTTTAAGTATCGCTTTATTTGTAATAAATTTTTAATTGATAGAACAACACTTAATTTAACGTGGAAAAACATCTAAAGTTGATTGAATGATATAAAAACCTGGTATTTGTATTGTCGTCATCTATTTCTGTGTTTCTCGACAAAATATTAGTGATTAGATTAATGAAATTTTATTATAGAATAAAAAAAATAACATTTAAAAATGGGATGTAATTAAGATTATTTATTTAAATTATTTACTTATTTTAATCTATAACAAACTTATTATTCTTAAACAAATATAATAAATTATATAATTGAAAATATTATAAATATTACAAAGAGTAGTAATTTGTTTCGATTTTGAATTGCAACATTGGTT